TCCTTGATGGGCAAAATGCTTTGAAAAATGTTTTATTTCACTCTCTCTTATTACCCTGAGAAACTCTGTCCAAAAAATAATGACAATGCCATTACTCAGCAACAGGCAACTTCAGGTCAAAAGCAACTCAGAAGCCTCTAGCTGACATAGTCATACAGGCTCTCCTTCCAGTCTGTCCATCCCCTTCCCCTATCCCGTAGTTTTGGTTGGATGCTGTGAGGAAGAAAAAGAGCTTTGTGCAAGACAAAGGCAATGTGATAGAAAATTATTTCTTTGAAGTGCCAGAAAACTGATATGGTTGGTATTTGAGCATCCATTTTTGTGTTTGGCTTTTGTGATGTTTATCTTAAACTACAGCCATCTTTAGATGAATGCTTTATCTCTTTCCTCATCAATACAAAGAACATAGCCTAACAGATCTTCCTGACAGAATATTGTTATTCCAGAGGGAAAAATATAATCAGAGGTGTGAAGAAAATTTGCCTAAAGAAAAAGCATGCCACTCAGTGTTTTTACTAAGAAACAGATAAGACAGAGAGGCTTACTATGATACATGTTTATCCATACCTTTATATTCTTCACTATTCTACATTCTAGTGGAAGATGTCCTTGACCAGGGAAGGGGCAGAGGGGAGAGGGAGAGTGTTGGAACTAGGTGATTTTTAAGGATCTTTCCAACCCAAGTCATTGTATGATTCTATTATATTCACAGTGGATTTGATACAGATATTTCATGGCAAAATCTACACATGTAAGGACCATTTTATAAATGTTAGGACAGCTTTACTGTAAATGAAACAACCTTTCAATCATACTACTTTACTTTGAAAGATTATAAACAAGAAATACCTGAAAACCTGAGAAAATAAGCACAAGATTCATGGAAACTACGATTGTTTATTTCCTTCACAAATAGAAATCAATATCATGCAGTACATTGCTGGTCAAATTTTATTTAAGTTATGCAGTGATATTTCTGGATAGTAACTTCTGAACATGCAAAGCTGAGGTGAATCCACCTGAATCAAATTAAAAGGGGGAAAAATATAATCTTTCAAATGTTTTCCTCAGATATTGGAGTTTCCATTAAAATGCTCCTTATTAAACTGAGAAAATTCAGAGTAAAATACTAAATTTATATCAGTTAATATAGATAGCTATAGTTATCTATGTCTGCAACTCCTAATAAGGCAGATATAGAGGTTACCAATTTTTTTTTTTAAACAGACATCAACATGCTGAGATCTCACTTTGCATTTTTTTAAACAACAGACAAAGCATACAGAAAGAGGAATATTGGGAACACCTCAAGCATTATAGCAGAGATTAAGTAAAATATCTAAAATTCTGATTCATGTCAAACCAGTAGGTATGTTTTTCTGTTTGTAAGTCCCTCTATTGTTTGATACTCAGCTTTACAAAGTAGCCTGTGCATTGTTTTGGGAAACAATTTCCTGTCATAATAGGCAAAATATTTTGTTTAGATTTCCTCTTTTTAAAATGAAGTTTAATGTAAAACCATTTCATAGCATTTCTATTCCTTGGAGTATTGTTCTGCTTGGTGTTACACCTGCATATTTAAGGAGAAAAGTATTGAGCTGCTACAGCATAATGAAATGTACATCTCCTCAAAACTTAGTTTTTTTCCTAGGACTTCCCATTGCTCCAAGACTGAGATTTGGCTGTTTATGGTACCACACTTAATCAGAAGTCGCATTTAGATGAAGTATAATGCCTTGCATTTCTGATTTCTTAATACTAACTTGTTTAAAAAAAATATGTTTCTAAAACCCCAAAATTTACTGAAGCTACGATTGAAAGAATATGACATCAGGTAACTACAGTAAATCAATCCAAAATGATCATATATTGCACACACTATATATGTGTATATATATATACACACATATGCAGTCACTCTGCTTTACTGGAGATGACGGTGGGGCGCAACATTCACAGGTCAAATAATCTGAATTTGGACCACGGTATGTTTTATGATATCCTATTCATCCCAATCAAATCTAAATCTGTAATTTAGCTCTTTTGCTGCTGACCACATTCTGGACAGAGTCCATGGTATTTTAGAGCTATCAAAAGAATTCGTCTACAAAACAAACTTAAGGAAAACTTCCTTTCAGTTTTCAGCACAAACATGCTACCTGCTTATTCTTCAACATAAGCTCTTCCTTCTTACTAAGGGATTCAGGCTGACTCACTCTTCACACAAGTTCTTGATTCTACGTTAGCTTTTGGCAGGCCTTCATGGCTGCTGCCACCAAAGAATAACTCAGAATTTTTGTAGGGGCAGTAGCCTTGCAATAAAGTAGTAACACGGATTTTACAAAAGAAAATAAACAGTCATCCTGTTGTAATAAATGGATATCTGAAATGCAAACAACTTTTTGTTGTGTGTATTTTACCTTTCTGAAGTTGACTCAACACCCCTAATCAAAGATGAATCAAATACCTAGTAGAAGATATTTACAAGACCTGCAACAGTAAGTACATGCACACTCATATTTTCAAAAGCACAGGTAATACCAGTTACTTAAGTGTATGTTGGGTGAGGAGTCAAAATTGTATTCTCCACTGATAATTATAGGCCCTAGTGTTAAAATTTAGATGCCGCTTAAGACTGACATGTCTCTGCATTCTTTATGTGTCTCTTAAGAACATAAATATGCAAAAATACAGGTTTTAAAATGTGATTAAAAGAAACAAATTGTTTTCTTTACAAAAACTTCACAAAAGTATTCAAATTCAATTATGTTGGCTGTTTTTAGCAGTGAGCTCCTTGTTCAGTTCACAAACATTAGGCATTTAAAACAGGTGAATATTTCATTCACAGAAGAGAAAACTACTTCTGTGAATGTGCAATGATCAAGTTTTTTGTTCACTTTTGGGGGTGGTTTTTTTGTTGTTTTGTTTTGCTATTTCGGTTTTCTGAGGTTTTTTTTTTACTTATTTTTTCTAGAGGAATTGCATTACATTTTACTGTGGAAAATGTGGGATCTTGGTCAAATTGAGGAAAACCTTCATCAGAAGACTACCAGTTTGAGAATTTAGAGAGGGAATGATTTTATTAATTTACACATATTTCCAAACTTCATCTACACTTTTTCTGTCCTTTTAAAAATTTCTTTTGTTGGATTTTATGCACATCTTGTGTCACTGCTTTGTTATACATCACAAAGTTTTATTTTGTTTTTAAAAGTTGAGGCAATCTTTGATGTAATTCTTTATGAACATAGAAAGAATTAAGTGTGTTATATAATATTACACAATCCATAGCACAATATCAGTACTGCTTGTAAGGCCTAATTCAGTGACTTTTCAAGCAAATTCAGCACTATTTAATTCAAAATGAGGAAAGGACAATATCTCAGAACAGATGCTGAAAAACTTGTTCTTCACCAATGATCAAAAGTTTATGTTAGATTGCCATCTGGTGGTATCAGGTTAAAAAGAGTCTGTGTCTAGGTAGGCATAATCATTCAACATTATTTTAACTAAAGTCATTGGGAATCTCATTTCCAATTTTATTATAGACTATGCAGCACATTTTTTACTACAGTCTACACTATGTACTCTGATACTGCACCTTCTTAAGTTTTCCCAAAAAGAAAAGAAAACAAAACAAAACCCACAAAGAAAAAGTATGCTCACAAGTTTTTTCCTAAACCTAAAATGTCAGTACCTCAATAGGACTTTCTCTTGTTTCCAAAAACACATTTACTCCAATCCCAGTTAACTTAAGTCTGCCAAAACAAAGACTTTCTTCATCTTTTAAAAATCCCCCCTTGAAACTGGAGCTCAAGGAGTGAACAGGAAAAAATATTTCACTTGAACTTCACAGACAGGTGTAATTCAGACTAGGCTCTTAAAGCTGACACTTGGAATAGGAAGTACATTAGAGCTTACATGGTGTGAAACATTAGGAGTGTGATTTTTCATAGAGTCACAGAATCACAGAATGGGTAAGGTTGGAAGGGACCACAGTGGGCCATCTGGTCCAACCTCCCTGTTCAAGCAGGGTCATCCTATAGCACATGGCACAGGATTGTATCCAGACAGTTCTTGAATAACTCCAGTGAGGAAGACTCCACAACCTCTCTGGGAAATCTGTTCCAGTGCTCAGTTACCTGCACAGTTGTTAAGATCCAGTTATTAAAATTATTAGAAATGTCTCTACCCAAATAAAGGTGCAAATGAGACCAAATCCCAAAGTCAATAGTATGGATTTTATTTAATGTTAAATGTGAGACAGAGAGATAGAAAGAAATAGGGAAAAGGTGTGTGTGGGGGGGATGAGTATAAGAAAGAAAGTGACAGTCAGAGATTAAAATGGAAAAAGTATCACCACTCTGTGTAATCCGGCATCATCCTGTTGGTCCAGTTCTTCTAGTCTTCTTGGTGGTGAGGGTTTCCCAAAAAACATAGAGTCTAGTGGATTAATACACATTCAGGAGATGCCAGGCACCTCCCTTTGGGGAGGGAAGCTTTGCAGACTCTTGTAACAGGTTTGCGGCCTCACGTGCAGTCTTCTCATGGTGGAACAGATTAGGGGGGCATTTTGGGGATCTTTGGTGGTTTATGACCTCTTCTCAGCTGCCTCTCATGTGAATGTCCTGTGTGTACGTGGTCTTCGGGGGGGGAGGGGGGGCGGAGGGTGGTGTGGCAGGGAATTACTCCTTTGGTTTGGTGTGGAGAGATTTCACCATCACACACACAAACTGCTTCTCCCTCACCACCCTCTGAGCCCAGATAGGGCTGATTCTTAACACAGATACATTCTTCTTTCCTGAGCTTTGTTTACTTCTCCTCAGACTTGAGATGATTAGACAACAGTCTTATCTCAAGTCCCCAGTGCCAGTCCAAATTCCAGTCAGGAGGCATTGACAGGAAGGGGTACTTTGGTGGCCACAGACAGACTATTGCTTCCTTGCAGTTTGACAAAAAGTCTTTCTATGATTTTGACAATGTTTAAGACATTACTGACATTTCAGTCCATCACAATTGTAAAGAAGTTCTTCCTCATATTAAGGTGGAACTTCCTGTGTATCTGTTTCTGCCCATTGCCTCTTGTCCTATTGCTTAGCACCACTTCCCTTTATTGCCACAACCTTTCAAAGATGATTGTCAGCAGCCTAGCTATTGTGTCCACCAGCTTTCTCAGCAGTTGTGGATGCATCCCATCAGGTATTAGTTTTCCTTAGTTTTTCTTTTGTTACTGATATATTTGAAGAAGCCCTTCTTGTTGTCTTTGACATTCTTGGCCAGATTTAATTCCAGATGGGTCTTTTCCGTCCTTGTTTCATTTCTATTCACTCTGACAACATCCCTATATTCATTCCGAATTGCCTGACCCTTCTTCTATCTCCTATGTATTTCTTGCTTACACTTGAGTAATGACAGGAGTTCTTGCTCTTTGGGATGCACCATTCTTGAGCCTGGAAGAAGTGATCCTTGAATATCAACCAGTTCTCTTGGATCCCTCTTCCCTGAAGGGCCTGTTCCCATGGGATTCTCCCAAGAAGATCCCTGAAGAGGCTAAAGTTAGCTCTCCTGAAATCTGTGGTTGCAACCTTACTTGCTGCTCTGTTTCCTCCTCATCTGATACTGAACTCCACAATCTCATGGCCACCACAGCCAAGGCTGTCCCCAACCTTCACATCTCCAATGAGGCGTTCCCTGTTAGTATAAGGTTGAGTAGCACACCTTGTGGGATCCTTCACTACCTGTGACAGGAAGTTGTCATCAATGTTTTTCACAAACTTCCTGGACTGTTTGTGCTTCAGTGTGGCTTCTCCAGCAGATGTCAGAGTAGTTAAAGTTGCAAGATACAGGGAGATTATCTCTGGGAAAACATAAAACATTCCTGGTCTCAAAATGATACCAATACTGAATTTCATGTTTCTGCTCCAAACTATTATATATGATATGGACAAACTTGTATTTCTAAGCTTGCTTTATTCTTGAAATGCCTGTTTGTTCCTGTCATATATTCCCAAATCTTATCCATCTGGCATAGATGAAGCATGACTGTTTCAGCATAATCTATAAGCATATAAGTATAGATTGTTTTGATGAACAACCTGGAGTTACGCAAAAAAAAATTCAGCCTATCAGTCAACAGAGAACTAAGCTAATTGAGTTTGTTTGCAATAAAAGCACGACTAACCGTTCCCAAAGAACTGAGACAGAATACAGTTCTGAACTAGCAATGCTGAGGAGCTGACTGTCTTCATGTGACACAGAATACTGACATAAGTCAAATGATGAATTTTCAAACTATAGCATGTCAGAATTAGGAGCTACCATGTAGTTAGTGTTTCTCTTGCACCTACCATGTAGTTCGAGAATTACCACCATAAAATGTCAAGACCGTATCAGCTAATTATAGAGTTGCAGCTATAAAAGTAACCTTAATTCTGTCCAAATCTCAATGCTTTGTAATTGTTAACTGCCGGGGTTTGGAAATTGTTAACTCATTTGTCTACCATTGGTTTCTGTGTTGCCATAGTTATTATATTGTCTCCTTGCATTGGCTAGCCAAATGGCCAATCCCCTCTTTGGCCCAGCAGCCCTTATAAGCTGCGGGAAATTTGAATAAAGCTCTTCTTCGCTGCTGGATTCCCTGTGTGGTCTCTGTCTCCTGGCTTAAGTACCTCCACCGCCTGTCCCTGCCAAGAGGGACGGGCGGCGGGGGGGTGATTCCAGCCCTGAAAACCTTCACAGAGTGGCCGGCAGTGACCCCGCAGAAACCCCTCAAACTGCAACAGTTAACTTCCTGCAAGGCCATTGTAATTGCTGTCAATACAATTACTATCGGTTTTTTATAATCTGAACAGCTGAATTTTAATAGATTGCATATATACAGTATTTTGCATTCAGCTGTGTTGTTCAGCTGTGATTGGTAAAGTAAGTCTCCCAGTAATGTTTTTGGACTGCCTCTGTGAAAATTGTACAAGAACTCTCCATTGGATTTACTTTAGTTTCTGATTTACCTTTATTTCTCAGAGCTTTTATACATAAATAATTACTGTATATAAAATTATTATAGAAAATTAATCCACATTATTAAACTCCGTTATTAAACTATATCAATATTCACTCCTCTTCTAAACAGAATTAACAGAATGTCAATACATACTCTGACTTAGAGAAAACTGCCTATGGACATTTATTGAAAACACTGAATATCTTTAATCATTTCATATTGTCTCTGACGTGACTCCCTATAAAGTGAGATCTCACAGTAGCACAGAAAGAAATAGAGTCTAAAAAAGGCATAGTTTCTATTGCAGGTATTTTTTAGTGTATCACAAATTAACCCCAGGCAAATACCAATTCCAGAAAAAGTGCTCAGAAGAAAGGACAGCTGGGATCGGGATAAAAATCAGAGAAACCTGCAATGTAAATTGATAGCATCCTACTCCTCAACACTAACTTACCTTAGTATTTTGTTTTGTGGCTTGTGTTCTAAGCCCTTATACTTCTGTATCTCCTACTACCTATTTCAGAAACCTCCCTTTTATTAATTGATGCTTGTATTTATGGCTGGTTTGCTTTTTTACAAATTGTATACTGCATAAGAGTCGTCAGCACTGTAGTTTTGTTTTGCTTTTCCAAGGAGTTTCAGAAAACATACTTTAAGTTCCACTTACAAATACTGCAACTTAAAATAATATCTTCTAACAATCCTGAAGTATTTCTGTCACTGAGAACTGAGTAGCACTGTGCCCCATACTAGGTTTGTTGCTTTTAATGACCAAAGTTACAGACCAATTACTTATTATATAAACACTACTAATGGGATAAAATGAGCTTTAGAATGCTCAACATGAATGTCCTCTTTATTCCCTGTCAGTTGGCTTCAGATCTAACCCTTAGTAGTTTCCTGTCTTGCCTGGTTTCAACTTTCTCAGAACACCCTCTCACCAAAACCCAGCCATGAGGTTTGTATGTCATAGTATATAATATGTTATCAATGGGTACAACGTGACAAGCCGTAACCATTGAGAGGGATGTGAATAATTCGTGAAAGCAGATGGGTCTCTACTATTATTTCAACCATCTCTCAATGGTTATTTTTATTAACCTATTGTGTACCATCAACAAATCAGAGAATTTTCCAGGTATTTCAAGGAAAGATAGCATCAGAAAGCTTATTCCTTATACATAATATCTTATTTTACAGAAAAATTAAGATATTTTAGGGGAAGAAATATCTTTATTTTATAAACCACAGTACCTGGAAAAAATACAAAATTTTGCATAAAAAGCAAAGCAAAACAAATAAATAAACCTTCAGAAACCCCCAACCTACCTTGTCTTTAAAACAAGAAAAATATGAACTATACAGTTTGTCATCAGGAGCATTCATCAGATTTTTCTTTTTTCGTGTGTGTGTGTGGTACAGAAAAAACATTCAAGACAACTTTGCTGGGAAGAAGACGGGGTGGGGAGCTGTAAAATAAAAACACACCTACCTACCTACACATAAGATCCTGGAACCATACATGACAGCCAGTGTGTTACTCTAACATGAGCCATGCTAGATAAATAGTTTTAAATATAGAGAGGTGAGTTCTTACGAGTCAAGTCCACCATAACTGCAATCACCATGCAACAGATACACAAGCCCAAAATAATATATATACACAAATATATAGATATATAGTTACACTCAGTAAGCACAGCATCTCCTGTAACAAATGACAACCTTGATATTAAATTTAAAAATCAGTAAAAGTGACAATAGAATTCTTACTGTTTAGAGTATATTTCTTCTATGAATTTATAGACTTGGATGATTATGAGCTAGTACTGATGGCCATGACTACTGACCATGGCAACTGATGCATAAAATAATTATTAAAGGAAATTATATGAAAAAAATTGTCAGTAATTAAAAAATTAATAGTTAGCATATTTGAGAAAGCAACCAGATGTAAGAGTGCCTTCTCAGTGTTAATTATATACAGCAAATACTAAAATCAGTGATTCAAAGGTAGGCAACAGTGACATACCAAGCACCCTTATTCCAGAGTCTAATCAATTAACTTTTCTAGTCAGGTCCCAAAATGAATTACAATCACTCATACATAATTTTAAAGTGAAGACTGTCTGCAAATGAAACTTTACCAGTTTGGTTCAATGGTTCTTTAGGAGGGGCGCAGGAAGGGATTAAGAGTCAAAACCAATTTTGACTATACTATATATTGAACTCCATTCTGAGTATTACTATACAATCAAAATTGCCTTATATAACATGCTGACAGTACAGTCTTACAGAGTTTATACACAGCCATTGTTTATTCAAGCCATAACGGTGTTTATCTTATCAGTTCTAGTTAGACCTAATTTAAATTGGACAGATATATAAGTTAAAAATTTATATAAACATTTATATTAGACTTGCAAAGAAAACTAGAAAGTTATATAAGGACTGCTAAGTCAAAGGCATTTCAACCTGTTTCTAGTATTGCCCATTCGTGAATACTTCAGGAAAAAAAAGTAATAGAACTGTGCAAATCTGTTGCAATAGTCTCCTCACAAAATCTTCCATCTTCTGCAAATCTACATATAAGGGATTTCAAAATCCGACTGTATTTGAACAGTTCAATGTGGTAACTGAAAATCAGTTGAAGAAAATAGCCTTTTTTAACATGGAACATGGCATAACTTATAAGATGTAAAATCAATAAGAATTCAACAGAATTTGTATTTCATTCAATAAAGAGTTCCAACTTCTACTTTATAAGACACCAAATTTAAAAACAAAACCACCTTTTTTGACACTTTTTAATTATTAGAAATCAAGAAACCTAAAAAGAAGCTTCTCTCATAAAGTGATTTGTGCTCCACTGAGTGTCTTTTGGTGTAGTACAAACTTATTGGTAAATATTGCTGCATACTTTAGAAAGAAGTAGTTATTCTCACTTCTACTTTATGCACATTCCAATTTATGTCACCTCTTTGTTTACTTTGTATTACTTTCAAGTTTTGTTGTTAATTTTTTACAGCTTTAAATAGGCAATTTAATATCCATATATGAGACATTTGTTACAATTTGTTAATCAAATGCTTTTTCACAACTGTAGCTTAGACATTTTGAATCTATTCATCTTGCTTGGGTTGCAGGAAATGAAAATGTGCTGGAGATGTTTTAATTAATCTTTGTAACAAGATTCTGAAAGTATTAGATGTGATCTCTTGAGAAAATGTAGAAACCAATTATGCGACTAACTCTTCCAAATATTCCCATGACAGAGGAGTCTAAATCTGAAAAAAAGACCATAAAATGCAATAAAAAAAATAAAATTCTGCTTTGGATTAACTTAGCCTCATGTGCTCTTCTAGAAATGTGTATTTAATTATTTGCATTCATATATTGGATATGAGAAAAAGAATATATTAACTTCAATCAATGAGAATGAGACATTGTTCTCTAGATAAAGCAGTGCCTAGAAGCCTGACCTTCGGTAAGAACAGGTTTTAGCCCTGATAGAGAAGATCATGATCACTCAGACTATGAGGTGATCTAACCAGCTTTAACAAAGAAAACTGTTCAAAATTTGTGTTAAGGCATCTAATAAAGAAGCAAAATTAAAAAATAGGACAAAGAAATGTTGTTCAATGCTGTTTCAGTTAGCGTGCTATTCTACCAAGTCCAGTCAATTCCTTTGGTTTAGTGTACCTCAACTTGAGCATAGAATGTTTTGAGATCCACTATACTGGATGTAGTTAAAAACAATGTCAAATTAAGAAGCCATAAAATAAGGCCAAAGATTTTTTTTTTTGGTACAATTGATTAAACTATACTCAGGCAAAGGAAAGGGAGAGATCTCCAAA